GAGGGTTTCTTGCCTATAATGCGCAAAACTAAGCCCAAAAGAACATGAAAAAAGGGAACTATAAAATGGGGTAAGTGGATTCTGAGCACCCCACACTAAAAATTGCACCCCAAAAACGGTAGGCCTATATAATGCCCATATCCGGTTCAGGGCGAACAAACAAACACAAATTCAGAAAACTCCTCGCAACATCGCAGAACTTTCTCAAACACGCTTATAAAACGCCTGACGACTGACGACCTTGGCAAGCTCCAGTAAGTTTGTCCACACAAGGAGCCTTCCCAAAGCGTTTGCAGAACCTTTTTCCCAAAAAGGACAGTCCTTGTGCAAGCGAGCTTTACAATTGAAGGCTTGTTCCCTCAAGGCTTTGTCGAATTGAGCCTGCGTGCAAACATGCGAAAAACTCCACAGCTTGTGAAACCCACTCTATCCATGGTTTTGAGTGCTCAAGCCCACTGGCAAAAAAATGCCCCAATGCCAAACTGCCATGCCTTGGCATCTTTCGCTTCTTGCTCCAAGGCCTCACTGGGGCATATAGGAAATGCATTTGCTTGAGACATCTTGAAACCAAACCAAGGCAACAACACTTGACCGACCTGACACTCCATGGGGCATTTGTTGGTCGGTAAGCATGGTCGGCTTCATGAAAAATGAAGCTGAACACCGGCAAAATATTGAAAATGTATCCAGGTGGTTTCCAACCTGCAGAGCAATGTAAACACCAAGTGGGAACATCTACACGCAAAACAACTTCTGCCTAGGTTTTTATGTTTGAGCCCCAAGTCTTTTTGCCCTGTCGACTTTTACTAGGTTGCCTTCTCTTGTCCACCTGCTCCCTATACCATGCGCCGTGTCCTGTTCAGTCCCAGCTTTCCCCCCCCGCACACCTTTAGAGCATGCTGTTGGGGTATGGTCGTAAGGCCAGCGAGCAACGTCGTCGCCAACAGAAGAACACTCTCAAAAACGCTGGCTTCAGCCGATCTGAAGGCATGCAAGCGTAGGTTTTGGCTCCACGCAGCACGCTAGAGTGATGGAGCCCATGCAGCGACAGCGGACTGAGCATACATGAGCTGTGCGACAGCCTTCCAAAGCTGCATGCTCAGGCATATACCAGGCCATGTTGAACAGTTGTGTGTCCCTCAAGTGAATCGTTCGGCTCGTGTCGCAACCATTTGCCCAGCAATGAAACCCGTCGTGTGTGAATTTCTTACGCCGATCGCAAATCCGCAACGTTGTTGAAGTTTGCCTTGAGATTCTTGATTAAATTCAAATGGGGGGGCATACTAATCAAGGGTCTGTCTACACAGGGGCGAACGATCAGATTGAGGCTTAGAGCCAGTCAGCTGGACGTGAAATGCGCGAACCGCGGATGGCGACCAGGCCACGCCGGTGGCCAGTGCAGGTTGCAATGATGGCACAAAGCGCGGGACTTCCCAAAGATGAAATGACCCTTTAACTTTTGTGGCAGGAAATCACTCCAACCCCTCATGTACTAAGACTTTTGATGGTCCACTGCCCTTCACTTCCTGTCTTAAAACCAAACTCACCAAAAAAAAACAAGGGGGGACGTCGAAAAATGTAGGTTACATTTTCCTATGCGGAGGGCCTCAATAAATGCAATTACATTAACTTTGACGGCCTCAAAAAAGTAACTTACATGTTTGCAGCCTCATGGGTGGTTTCTCGGGGAATGACCTCAAAATGTAAGTTACATTTTTGAGGCACGGTGGCGCGCTTACATTTTTGGACCCCCCATCCCCCCCCCCTGAATCTTGCTGTCAGACACACTCATTTCTGCTTGTTCCTTGCTAGAAAGAGAAGATGAGGGAACAGCAGTCGTCATCAACAAAGCAGAACAGGAAACACACCCAGAGCATGCTGTCAAGAAGCAGGGACATAATACATGTTCCCACTGAAGTGAGTCATCATCAACAAAGAATAACAGGAAACACACCCAGAGCAAACTGCCAAGAAACAGTAACATACATGTTCCCACTGAAGACCGCAAAGAAAGGCAACAAAGCGAAACCCAAACATAACAGAGGATCACATTCCATACACAATGAAAAAAAGGAGAGGCTGCCTGTTCTATTGCGCATGAGAATAAGGATATTCAATGCTGTTTGATCCCCTGGTTTCTTGCCCCCTGCTTGTGCTTCATGGCGTCGGACGTGTGTGATTTTCAGTATGCTAAAATGTAAGTAACTCAGGGGGACACCCAGTTCCTTGTAAATTCTGAGGAGTTGGGCACGTTGCAAAAATGTAAGTTACAATTTGTGAGGTCAAACTTTCTCACATCACCCATGTATTCCCTGTAATCTGATGGTTTGGATGCGTGGACTAATTGTAAGTTACAATTTTTGACGTCTGCACTAGTCAGTCTGCACATCTCACCTTTTGCCTGTGTCCTGGTCCTGCATTTTTGGAGGCTATACCGGTCATGCGAGAAGAGACCAAATTCATCGCAGTTCTTTGGAAATGAGCTTGCATGTGAGTTGGCATTCACTTTGGGATGTGGCCGTGCCATGAAAGAGGTTTTGCATCTCTTTGGTGTCTCCGAGAAAGTGATTCCAAAAGTTGACTTGCAGATCTCATACTTGCCACAGTCCCACATATCCCCCACACATCCCTTCGATCTGCCAACTCACCCTAGGGGGGGGGGTAAAAAATGTAAGTTCAGGCCTCCTAGGTCGCAAGTTACATTTTCCAGACCCCCCCTTCTATCTGCCGACCCTTTGGGGGGGGGGTGGTAAAATGTAAGGCAAAGTTGTTACATGTTTTTGCCCCCTCCGCTGCCTGGGGGGGATAACTTACATTTTTTGACCCCCTAGGGGGGTACCCTAAAATGTAACTTACTGTTTTGAGGTCCCCCCTCCCGGCAGTAGCTTTAGGGGGTAGGGATGGCTTAGAGCCAGTCAGCTGGACGTGAAATGCGCGAACCGCGGATGGCGACCAGGCCACGCCGGTGGCCAGTCAAAACTTGGTTGCAGGCTGCAATGATGGCACAAAGCGCGGGACTTCCCAAAGATGAAATGACCCTTTAACTTTTGTGGCAGGAAATCACTCCAACCCCTCATGTACTAAGACTTTTGATGGTCCACTGCCCTTCACTTCCTGTCTTAAAACCAAACTCACCAAAAAAACACCAGCGGAAAGCTTTCTTGGATGTCAGGTCTTTTTCTCGAATGGGAGCCCTTTTCCGAACATCAAAAATCCACACCTTTGAAAGGCATGCCATCCGAGGCAGCACGAAGGAATATCCATCGCCGTTCGTTCACCAACAAACTCGATGCTCAAACTCGTTCACCACCCAAAAGAAATGCTGAAGTTCGCATCCAGACGCTCTCACTCGCAGGGAAGCCTTCGGCCGGTCGAGAAACTCACCTGCCCGGTACTCCCTGAGGTCGAGAAACCCGCTGCAGTTCCATGGATTCGGCTGCCGCGTCATCGACCTCGCCCGGTGGGTGACGCGCACCCTTCTGTGACTCCCTGGTGACTCGGGTGGAGCACCGGACGCGTACGAGGTCGGAGCTGTCGCCGGAGCTGCCCGGTCCGGAGAATGAACAAGGGGCGCCGGAGCTTTGTGGAGGAAATCGGCTGGCCGCTTCAAAGAGATGTCACCTGTAAAAAAATGGAAGACATTTTTGGATGGAAGCAGGAAGCAAAACAGGATGGAAGGATTCCCCCGGATTTCCCGTGCCAGGTCAGGTGCGACATCACATAATAATCAAAATTCATTAGCAATTAGATGCAATGAGCCATTTCAAGCAAGACACATACAGTCAAACCCTTCTAAATCCCAGATGTTCTGATGTCGCTAAAGCCGCACGATGTCCACGCGCCTCAAGCGCCTCAGTCGCAGCCTTCGTTTCAGCTCTCTGCGACCCGAAAAGCTGGCGACCTCCGGTCTGCCACACCCAAACGGACGGACCGCACGACCGCGCTCGCGCCTGGAGACGCATGGCTTTGACCTGGGCAGCGGCCAAACGCTCAGCCTTCACTTTCTCCTGGCTGTGAAGCTGCGGTCAATACCGATATTCACGTGTGTTTCCTCGATGTTTTGGAGAAAAAGAACTTGAGCAAAGCATGGCAAAGCAATATGACAGTCTGGTAGCCCGGTGTTGTTGGCGTATCTAAGTATCATGTATAGACTGTTGATTAACAACCCCCAATGTGAAGAGGTGCTTACATCTCCATATATGGGTATAGGTATATCAATGATGAACATGTATATAGACATGCATAGCATATCAAGTGTATGCCTACATTATATACAAATATATACGTGCCTTCAAAGACCATACAACAAATTGTTAAGCTGGTTTTGTAGTTCAAATCCTCATTACACAAAAAAACAATGGTTGTTCAGTCAGTCATATTGAGCTCATGGTGGTTGGAACCCTAGCGGCCCTAGCCCAAACAAACGCTCCGTAGTGGGGGATATTGCTTCACCATCTAAAGCAAAACACACCAATTCTTCCAAAGGTCCCATGCTTGTTCCGAACGGAAACCGAACGGAACCGCGGTTCTGAGGCTCGGTGGAGGAACGTCAGACTGCTAGATAAGAGCAAGAATCTCCGCGGAAATCTTCGGATTTCATGGAAGATTGCTGAGTATTTTACCGACGGCTCAACCAATGGTTGTCATGTTCTGATTCGCATGAGATCCGTGCTTTGAGATATGCATTTCGCACTTGGCTTTTGCTTTTGATCCACTGTTTAGCTCCACCACTTCTCCTGCTCCTTCTCTGAGAGGACTCGGATGAGCTCCTCGGATCCGGTTGCTCCACCCCCCCCCCCGGCGAACGCCCGAACTGGTCGTCTCCGGGTGGTGGCCTGGCGATATATATATGGATCCTCCATGAACGGATCCACTGGCCACCGCGTCTGAAAGCGGACCTGGTCGGACCTGATCGTTCTACCCAGCACGGAGGAACCGGTTCCGCCACTGGGCGGGTCCTGGTGTTCTTCCCGACAGCGTGCCACTCACCGGCGTGTGTATTTTCAGGCCTCCTAGAACACAGGAGCATCGAAAAAAAGAAAAAGAGCGCCGTCCAACCCCGCAGAAACAAATAAAAGTACTACCATGCCTCCCCGAAGTCCAAAAACTGCCATCTTGAGACCTATAGGACCTATATAGGACCTTATATAGGTGCGTTTGGGTTTGTCTGACACCTGCCAGTCCCCCCCCGGTCGCACCAACCGACCGAAACCGGGGACCCCGGGCCGAAACATCGGCGTTCATGGCCTGCCGAGCACTGCACCGACGCACCACGTCTCAAGACGTGTCGTGTTTTGGTTTGTTTCTTCGGGTGGTCGTTCTTGTGTGTCACAGTTTACTTCTTATTGCAGTATACGTTTCCTCAAAAACACGTGATCAAGGGTTCTTTTCCCCAAAGAACGTGTGTGTGTGTGTGTGTGTTTGGTGTCTGTTTGGTCCCAAAGAACGTGTGTGTTCCTTTTTGAGGTGTTTGGCTTGGCCTAACTATGTCCATCGTCCACTAAACATTGGATGGGCACCCTGGTCCGAGCAGTTCGCAGGTCGAGATCTGTCGAGTCATACATTTATACCTGGAACTTCAAGGGGTGTCCTGTCTGGAGGTCCCTTAGTAGTGTAGGGGCTTCCATTGGTGACCCCTTTGAAGGTGCTGGTATAGTCTTTGGATCTTCCCCACGACAGAGATTGTACCTAGCGCTTGGAACAAGGGGTGTCCTGTCTGGAGACCTGTAAGTAGTGTGGAGATATCCATTGGTGACCCCTTGGAAGCAGCTGGTATGATTCCTTTCTATGCACCCACAGTGAGAACATCATCGCATTCCAAGCTTTTATATAGAAGGCAAAAGGCCTCTTGCGCGCCTTGTAGAATGAATGCAACATAAACATGTGCAAAAGTACGTGCAACTGGGCAACCTCCTGATGGACTGCTGTGACACAACTAAGAGAGTGTAGAGGTTTCATGAGGCTTCCAATACAAGGCAAGAACGACACCGCGGCTGGTTGTGTTTCGTGTTTTCCCTCACCATCTGTGCCAGCTGCACCAATGAAGCTATTGATGTTTGATTGCCACTTTGGTGGCCTTTTTATAGGAAACCTGTCAGCACCTGAGAATATCTGAGAATTGGAAGTGTCTCTTTCAAAGGACAGTGGAAAAGTCATCCTCCACTTGTTCCAGTGGAGGTGCCGGTTCAATACATCAGTGATGGGAGTCCTGTCAGAGATCAAGTGGACTAAAGTTCTGGGATGCCAGGCCATCGTCCATGGGAGCACCCACATGATGGGGTGACCCAATTGTGTTTAAAGGTCCAGAGGTGTATGTTCAAAAAAATGTCGTAGTAAACCTGGAGCCCATGGTGATTCTCCTTTTGCTTCTCTCCCCTGGCCCTCCCTCGGCATTTTGCAGAAGCATCCGGTGGCCTCAGCCCTCTATTAGCTGCACAATTGGAGGCAAAGATGGCGGTGCGGTGCGTCAACGGCACCGAAGAGCTTGTCTACCGTCTAAAAATAAAGGCTATGAGTCTTTGAAACGTGGCTTCTGGGGGGTGTTTTCATTGGATGTTGTTTGGGTTCAAGGTTACATGAGCTCGTCATGAATGTTAACATCAGGGTGACAAACAGGCGAAGCACGCAAGCAACATGGGATTGTATGTTTGTATTTGCCTAAGTCGAACATCCCAGCCTTACATAACCTGGACATGTTTAAAAAAAAGAACAAACCGCTCATTCTTTGGACATGGATCATAGCTAGTGCGGTGGCAAGAAGTGCTCCTTGAACCGACGAAGCGTGGCAGCGTAACCGACCATGATCGAATTCATAAAATCTGAATCATGGTGACCATCTTCTTGGTCTCGGCATCAAAACCCGATTCCGATTAATGTGCCCAGTTGCTGAAGGCTCGCTCGGACCATCTTGGACCGCTGCCGTCGCCCCGAAAATCGCCGCTGTTCTCTTGGAACATTTGAATCTGATAAATAACCATAACATAATCAAGTGATGAGCAGTGTCTTATTGTATGATTGGATTTCTGCATATTATCCCATGCAATGTATGACGAGAAAACAATACATCAGTCCGCAGGATCAGCTCCATGATTTGAAAACCCATGCAGAACCAACATCGATCACCTCGCAGACCGTGGAAAACTCATTTTTTTCGTCCCGATGAGCACCGATCAAACCTCATGGTGCGTGATCTACCTCGCGTATGGGAGTGAAACTCGCCTCAGCGGTTCCTGGAAACACAGCCAAGGCCACGGTTAGGCGACTCTCCCGAGAAGACATCTTTGGGGGGAAAGATCATGAACAGATCCCAACAGCACACAAGGATTGGTTAAAAAAAACAACATATCGATGATATTATATAAGTTCTTATACATAATATAATATGTTACATATAAATATACATATGACACCCTTGTGGGGGCCATCCACAAGGGAAGGTTCGACAGTGAAATCCTGTACCGGTGGGAAGTACCAGACGAGCTCCCTGGGGATTCTGGATGAACCCCCCTGCGGTTCCTGGGACTAGGACAACCATGATCCACGGCCAGGTTTTCAAGCGTGAACAAGTTCGCCTGAACAGCCACAACAACCAAAGCTAGCTCACCTGGACCCCTTTTTTGACATTTGGACCACCTGTCCTAAGTTGGACGTGGAGGTAGGAGCCTATAGAGTCTACAGGGAACATCTGACCCAAAATGCATGAAGGCCATAAAGAGATCGAATGGTTGTCCAAGACATGTGAAAACTCTGGAATCTCCTGAGCCCAACAAATGGGAAACGGAAACACGGGAAAACCCTTTTGGATCCTTTTCCGGAAGTTGACTTCATTCAACACCCGTCTATCCTATCAGCATGTTTGGGTCCAGAAGATGCGCGCTGCTAGAGCTTTGTATCTGATGGAGCTGCAAAGGAAAAAACTATGGAACACTAACCAAAACGCGGTGTTGAAATTCCTGACTCTCTTTCTGTAGAAAGGACATACTGTTGATGGACAAAATCCTGCACCACTTTGCGCACAGTTTTCTTGCTGCCCTCGTTCTCCCTCGTTAACATTGGGGCCACCACAGGTGCAGGATTTCGTCCATCAACCGTATCACAAGTGACCCGATGTCATTTGATGTCACTCGCAACAATTGCAAGTGACATTATGGGAAAACCATCATACCCATTCTGGATCGATGTCCCAAAAAAGGCGACACCGAATGGAATCGGGCCTGCACAAACAAACCCATCACGGTGGTGGAAGTGGCATGGGACCCTGGCAGACTCCAACCCTGCGGGTTAGACGACAGGGCAAAAGCGGAAGGAAGCCGAGTGGTTTTCACTTTGAGAAACCAAAAAACAAACAAGCACTCCTGTGCTAAAAGCAGCAAGCTCCCTTACAGCCAAATCATCCTAAACGGATCTAAACGGGGTCAGCTTCACTGCACCACCGAGGAGTCCGCGGAGTTCGCCCGCACAACTTCGACGCACGACTTCGCACAGCCAAGCTGCGAGGCATGACTTCCTTTTGGTCGTCAGCTTCGCCTCGGTCAGCTTAGCGCTTTTGGAAGAGCGCAGGCATCTTCTCGCACGAGAATCCGTGGACATTCCACGAGACATTCCATCAAACTGTCGTGATTTTGCCTCGGTGAAAGAGGGGTTAACTATGGTTGACTGCTAGGCATCTGCAAACTGACTCGGTTCATGGCGTGTTGTTTCATAGTTTATGACGGCTTAATGGATGTTGTTGTTGAGGGTTGCTGATCATCAGGCTTCCATGAGTGTATTTGTGCTTCTTAAAGAATTCACCTGCCAAACAGCAAAGTGCTTCATGACCATGCCAAGGAGAGTTTATTCGTCGCAAGGACAGCCGAGTTCAGCACTTACAATGCCTCACACCCTAAACCCGCCTGGCAACCACCCACCCCAAGCACCGAAAACACCAGGCAGGCAAGCAGCCCGAACAGGAAAAAAAGAACTAAGAGACATGTGAAACCAAATGTAGACTCTGATACTCTTGAAGACTCTTGACTAAAAACCCTCCCATTCTTGTGAAACCTCTTCATATTTTTTCATTTTTTTCTGGGATTATATGAATCAGCCTACATGACCTGAAACATATTGGACCACCCGGACGTTGCGAGATTGGGCTCCGCACTGGTCCCTTCAGCTCGAGACCCCTTGGCGTCTGAAGACAAGGACTGTGTCATCCTCCCCATCTAAACTTTAAACAAATTGAATGAACAACTAATTTATACTTTAATTCATTCAATGATTATGCATGATGAACTCTCTTTGTGCATATTATGCATAAATCTTGAATACTTGCATATAGCGTCCGTCTATATCAATAACACATCAACGAGCTGGCAGCTCCAGCTCCGTCTCCCCCTAGTTCCACAACACTGTGTTGGACCCCCCGTCCCGACCCACGGCCATTGACCCACCTCGCCTGTTGGTCTTCAACAGGCGTCACCTGGTCGCGTCGTCCACGTCGACCGGGGGGGTGACCAGGAGGCTCATGCAAATGCTGATCACGCTGACATGTCACGGACTCCTGACCCATGTGTTTTGCATGCATCCATCCAGCATTCTCATTGACAGTGATATATGCTGGCCCATTTGGTGACTCTGTCAAATGCGTGGAACCCGCTGGAACCTGCTTGGACACCAAGAATACCTACACCTATAGAAGATGTCTGATGCTACTCACCCAGGTCTTGGAAAGGTTCCAAACAAAGATCTGATTGTGGGTCAACATCCGGGCACCCTGGTTGACCCCGGGTCATGGCCGAACAGATTCCTCTATGTTTGGGCAGCAGACTCTCCACCCCACAGAGACTCGGATGGAACAGTATTTCTGCATGCCCATGTCTATCCAACTCCTGAATTCTGGGCGAAATTGAGAACACCGCCCGTGGGCTGCTACAAGACATACCAGCGCCTAATGACATCAATTCATCTGCAGGAGGTTTTGGGAACAAAAAAACGATCACCAAATCAGCCCATGCCATGCTCTGGTCGCACTCCTTGGGCACTCTGGTCTACGAGTACCGCTGACAACTGCCTGATCAACTTCCGCTTCGTGGCCCATGCAGCACTTCGCCTGGAAGGGCCGGTCGTTCGCGCGCGGAGCGCCTGGAAAGGAGGTCATGCACTCGCGAGCCACGAAGGCCAAAGAGGGCCAGAGCAGTGATTCTGAGGCGAAGGCAACATGACGACCTCAACTGCAACATGACGACCTCTTCTTAGATCTTCTTAGTAAGAAGCTTGTTCTTAAACAATAAGTGCATGCCTGGGCTATGCCCTCACCAAGAGCATCATCTTCCCTTCTTGGGCTTCTTCAAGCACTCCAAAAGCAGCCCCAAGCCCCCCCTACGATGTCTCTGATTGATTCCCCTTTCAACAAAACAACATGTCGTGCTCCCATTCCAGTCCGGACCCCTCTCCTTCATCCACGGTCCTTACCTTCAGATTTCTCGCGGCCCAAACGTGGAACCACGCCTGCATTTGATGGATCCTCTTCTCGTACCACTCCACAAACCTCAAAGGACTCAGCAGCCATGCAGCCCACACAGACAGGTGTGAGCGTCAACACTGCCAGGCGGCAAACGAATTCTTCAAACCTCCAGACCTGTAAAAGATTATTTTAGACACCCACATTCCTTGAAAGGTCTTGACACTCCCTGAATTCCCATCAATCACATATTAAGCAAATAAACAACAATATAAAACGTATCGCCCCCATGACGAGTGGCTGGATGAGAAAGCCGATGCCGCCGGTCATACCGATGATGACCCCTGTAAGGCCTGGACGATCTGCAGGGAAGGAGAGATCGCCACCGTTGAGAAGAACCCACTAAAATCACTCATTTGTGCATCCTCTATCATTAGGTGGTTTCTGAGCTCCTAAGACAGCCCATGCAGCCCAGTTGTCCCATCATGGTGTTGGAAGACACTCGAAGTTATTCACTAGCTTCATGATCTTCATGTTCATACACTCATGCTCAATGCACAATACATCACAATACTCGACCTGTTCTGAACAGCTCCGTCTCAAACGGCTGGTTCTCCCTGCCAAGTGGCCCATGTCCAGCACACCGATGAGAGTCGCACTGAGCCGGCCGTGCCATCGCAACGGGACGATGTTCACCAGCTGGATGCCACAGACCTCACTGCACTGCTTCGGAGAACGAAGCAGTAAGCACCCGTGCCACGAGCCGCTCGGTGTTTTCACACGGACGAACGACGAGGAACGACACCTCGGTGCCCGGCATTTCTGCGGGGGTCGGCGTTTGCCAGTTCGATGAAAGTCATCAACATGGAATCCCTTTTCAAACACTCCACGGATGTGTTATATATATAATATGGCTACTTTGGGGTGGTTTAGGGGGTGAATGTAGGTACCCTAGGGCTCCTGGCCTACCTCCGTTTTGATGGTTGGAGTGGGTGCCAGGGGGGGTCTAACCATCTGAGAATGGTTGGAGCCTTAGGGCTATCGATTCCAGCGCGGCTGATTAACTGAGTCGACTCAGTGTCTTGTTGAAAGAAAGCCGGCCGTCAAGGCCTTGAGGACCCAATCCGTTGTGACCCACCAGGAGCAAAGAGATTCAGAATGACTCTGTTGAACCAAAAAACTTCTGGCCGGTTCACATTCCCGGTATGGCTGGTCAGTGTGAGTCAAGACATCTCATCGAAATAATATGACATATGATGCAAGAAATCTACTTTCGAGGGTGAGTAAATCAATTGCTTGAAATATCTTGACATTGAGTTTGCGGTAACTATTGTTTTTAACAATTTATATGCACTGATTCTATTCGATAGTTGTTCCCCCAGCCACCAGCTCCTCGAATTGCCAGCTCTCCAAGTTTTTTTTTTCCATCTTGATTGTGTCATGAAAGGATGCCAAAACCAACATTAAGAAACCCCAATCCAGAGCCTAGTTTTACTAGCAAATGTCATATCCGAACCGTCCACAAGAATCTTTCTGGACTCTACCTATCACCAAAGATGGTGCTTTCTTCACATAAAGATTGACAGCACAACAAACACGCAAAGCAAAGAACAACATGAGCGCGATGGACGCTTCTCTTTTGTGGCGCCATCCATCAGTCTACGACTCGGCCATGGGGCGCCCATGGGGGGTGCCCCTTTTTTCCACGGGTGCCCAGTTCAGCCCTGTCGCGACACCACGTCTGACTGGGTGTTTGGTCCCGGTTTTGGGGGGCTCAACTTAGGCATGAGGGCGAGCGCGGAGCACGGGCGAGACTCTTCTCCAAGCAACACAGGAAATCACGTAGTAGAAGCCCTGTTCAAAGGTCTCAGTCGGCGTGTTGCAGATCAAGTTGCACCACAGCCCGAACGTATGAGATGTACAGTAGAGGATGTATTTTTCCCGAAAGCACTGCGAAGGGTTCTTCCGGAAAATCTCTTGAACACTTACACTTCTACACTTACACTTGAACACGTATACACTTACACTTGAACACTTACACTTCTATACTCTCACAATGGCACAGAAGTATCCAAGTGAAAGTTTGTAAGTGAAAGTATCCCAGTGTAAGAGTGAAAGCATCCAAGTGCAAGTATGCAAGTGTAAGTATCCCAGTGCAAGTATGCAGATGCAAGTAAGTATCCCAGTGCAAGTATGCAAGTGTGAGTATGAAACCTTTCACGGGAGATATCCTAATGAAAAACATTTCCCCAATTTGTAATTCTCTTTAAGGGCGGAGGGTGGGACGAACAGCGTCAACCCAAATTGCAACCCTCTGCGGAGATCGTGCGTGTCGAGTGCGCGAAATGCAGGCGAGAGTGCGAATTGTCCGGTTCCGGCGCAACCCTCAGTGGAGATCGTGCTCGATTGCGCGAAATGCAGGCGAGAGTGCGATTTGTCCCATGCGCGCGCGTATTTGGGGAGCTGTAAAATGAGAACTGGCGACTTGCTAGTACAACTGTAGTACGCGGAGCAATCTGGAGCTGGAAGCTGAGAACTGCAAATGGTGGCGGAGTATCTGGGGAGCTGGAAGATGAGAACTGGCGACTTTGTAGCACAACTTTAGTGCGCGGAGTATCTGGGGAGCTGGAAGATGAGAACTGGCGACTTTGTAG